AAAGGAATTCTCCCATGTTTTCTTACAGTACTTATATGTTTTTTATATTAAAATGTTGATTAACTTGAAATATTTCTAGTTATCTGGTATCCTCCCTAGAAATATAGCCTATAATGTACTAGCTTAAGTGATCCTAATTCTAAAATTAATCAAATCCTTTACTGTTCTCACCCTGGATATAGTGACTGTTGCTTCTTATTCTATTCCAGTCAATTTCTAAAATATGTGGTCTTGTCTAAACTCTTTTCTTTTCCCTGAAGTTTGCATTTGTGGGAATAAAAGTGCTACTCAGACTTTCCTTGAGCTAGAAGGAATTAGATGCTGTATTTAGTCACATCAAAGGCTATGGGAGGCTGAAGACATAAAATGCAACATTTTAAAAGACACCTAATGTACACCTCTGTGTTTATATCAATATACTTCTGATGATTCCCTCCATTACAGAAGAGTCTAAACTCTTTCCAGATCACGCGCCATGGTAAGGCATGGCCTAATGAGTGAATAAACTGTTGTACGTCCAGACGATGGAATTCAGCATTTGAAAGAAATGAGCCAGTGAGGTGGAAGAAATGTGGAAGAATTTTAAATGCATATTACTAAGTAAAAGAAGCCAATCTGAAGGGAAACATTCTACATGATTCCAACTTTTATGACATTCTGTGAAAGCAAACTAATAAAACAGAAGGAAAAATCAGTGGTTGGCAGTGGTTAGCAAGGAGTTAAATGGAGCCCAGGGAATTTTAAGCCAGTAAAATTATTCTGTCTGATACTACATTAGTAGATACATGTCATACATTTGTCAAAACTCATAGAATGTACAACATATTGAGTGAATCCTGGTATAAACCAGGAATTTTGAGTGATGACAACATGTCAGTTAAGTTCATCTATTATAACAGATGTATCAGTCTGGTGCAGGACACAGACAGTGAGGAACCCTGTACAGTGAGTGGATGGCAGGGGGAGCAGGGAGTATGAGAACTCTGTTCTTTCTGTTCAATTTTGCTGTAAATATAAAACTACTCTAAAATAAAGTCTATTTTAAAAGAAAAAAATAGTACAGGATTTCAAGATATATTATAAAGCTAAAGTAATCAAGATGGTATGATTTCTTTGCAAATGAGAGGATTATCTATGTAAAGAAGCATCATAAATACATCACAAAAATTTACCAGAATAAATGTCCTTAACAAAGTCTTAGAATAGAACTCTCAATACAAAAATGAACTGATTCTATATACCAGCAATAAATATTAGAAACTGAAATTAAAAATAAATGGATTTCTAATAGCTTCCCAAAATGAAATATTTAGGAATAATTATTACAAAATATGTATAAGACTTTTACACAGAAAACTAGAAAGCAATGCTAAGAGAAATTACAATCTAAAGAAATGGAGAGAAAATACTGTAGATTAGGAAGAATAAATAACTTTTAAGATTTCATTTAGAATTTTACGTTTTAATGTATAGAAAACTGTACCTCCATAAAATTCATTTGTTAAAAAACTGACTGAAATTGAAATATCACTGACACAGACTTCTCTTGAACAGATTTGTATCCCAGGTCTGTATCACCTATGTAGTTCAGGGAACTTTAAGCCACAAAGCTAAGTGTAGAATCTATCTTTTTGTTTTGTTTTGTTTTGTTTTGTTTGTAATACTGGGGATTAAAACCAGTATTGCCTCATGCATGCTAGGCAAACACTCAAGCACTGAACTACATCCCCAGCTCCAGATTCCACCTTATAGACCCTCCAGGCTTTTGTAGAAACAAACCTGAAGTTTTTAGGGGGGCTTGAGGAAGGCCCCACACACAAAATTTTCAAGTGCAATGACCAGAACATGATTACTGATGTCATGCCTACCAAACAACAAGGCAATACGACCACCCAATGGAAAGCACAGCTGCTAGTAACAAACATGAAGAGGCTTCTGATATTGGAATTATAAATAAACAACCATACTTACTGTGTTTAAAGATATAGTTGACAAATATGAAGATATCTGCAAGTGAACAGAAACTACAAAGACATGGCAAACTTGAAAATAACCACTTGCAGCTTCTAAAAAGTCAGTGGTTACATGTAATAACATCATGACCACAGCAAAAGAAAACACTTGTGAAATTTTTTAAAGTCATGAAAATTATGTAAACTGTACCATAAAGAATTTAAAAAAATAATAATTTCAAACTTAACATGTAAGAGTCCTTTTAGATACAGAGAGAGGGTCTAATTTAAATTTGACTGGAGTCCCAGGAGGAAAGAGACAGAAATGTGGTAAAGAAAATGTCAGAAAAGATAATAGCTGTGAATTGTGTAGAACTGGTGGAACATAATATCCATAAAACCAAGAGGTCCAGCAAAGCCCAAGTAAGAGAACTAAAAAGAAATCTACACCTAAACATTAAAGTGGTTTAGGTGGTTTGGATAAAGAACTAGAAGAGAGGTAAAAGATAAAATAATTTCAAAAGAGCAGCACTAAGACTGAAATCTAACTCCTCCAGAACAATGCAAACAACAAGAGAATATAATATGCAGACAGAAAATAACCATCTGTCTAGAATTCTATAGCTACTCTAGAATTTTTAAGCAACTAAAAATTGATAGACGAGATCACCAACAGAACCTCCACAGATAGAATTTTAAAAGATGGACCTCAGAAAGGCATTCTAGGTCAGATCTGAGATTTAAGAAAAAATTTTAAAATACTATAATAAATGTAAACAAAATTTAATAAAATTCAACTATACAAAGCAGAAATTATAATGCAGCAACAATATCACCCAGTAAGATCTAAAATAGGAATTAAAATACCAGCAACATTAATAAGTAAGTGGGAAATATGGTAAATGGAATTCAGGTGTTTTGAGATCTTTAGGTTATCAATGTTAACACTAAAGGTTTTGTTTTATTTTGCATATTGTGGACTACACTGCCAGGGAGGATGTAGTATACTGGAGCAGCATAATGCTCTTGCCAAAACAACTACAGAAGCTAGAAATGGAGATGTTTCTATAGATGCTTGTTGCCTGGGGTTAAGTGCAGATTCTGTTGCTCAAGACAAGAGAATGAAAATAGAATTTTGCTCAGGCAAAAGGCTATTGTTAGGAAACAGAGAAACTACCACAGGTTTTAGAGATCTTGCAGAACTCCAGGGCCTCAGTTTCAGTCAGTTTTTTCCCTAAGACATTTTCCAAATATTGAAACTGTATCATGGAGGCAAAAGTAAGCAGAAAATTTCTTAAAAGCAAAGTGTCTAGTAGTCCTGTAGAACAAGGAAATAAAGACTAGTGTTCAGGATCTGTGGGGTGAAAATAACCAGGCTCTCAGTGCCCAGAGGCTGCACCCTAGTAACACAGGTAAATCAAAATTAGAGCACCCTTACGCTAATGCTGAGCAAAGAAAAAGGAGATCAGCACCACTATAATTTTTAAACACAACATCTGACTCTGAATCAAAAATTACTAATATCAAGAAACACCAAAAATCAAGGCAATTTTGCCTTTCTTTTATTTATAATCTATACACAATATAAATTACGTATTGTGTATTTAGTGCCCATAAATTTTTACTTTTAACAGGATAGAATATCCTGTAATATCTTAAGCTTATCAGTTGAAACATCAATGAAAATAGTTCCATAGATGGAAAATGTTTAATAAAACAGCAAATAAACTCATATTTACCATATTTCTAAACTTAGTGTACGAGTAATTCTTATTTTTCTTCACATATTACAATTATGTAATTCTCATTAATAGACTACTCATTAAATCTTACTTATTACACATTTACTTACTTATCAGCACTGTTTTACTCCATTCCTTTTCATCTCATTAGGATGAAATTTCAAAACTTACTTCCAATGCTAACTAAAGTACTTTCTTTTGAGCTTCCCTAAAACCTGCAAATGTCTTTTTCACTATACATTTTATTTCTCTTAACAAAGTAAAACACTACATTAAATTGAAACACTCTGCTCATGGATCTGGAAAATTCTGACAGTACTGCAATGACTCATATAAACACCAGTAATGAAGAGCAAGTGACCTTTGCACATTTCACTACCCAGAAACAAAAAGGTGGTTTCTTTTTGGATTAAAGAGTAACAATGTTAGTGATCAAAAGCTTGGAATGTTTTAAAATTTTCAACTTATGCCCATATATTTGTTGTTTTTAAACAGGAGACAATCAAAAAATAGCCTCTATGTTAGATAATAAAATAGGCCAAATTGAAAATCTAACTATAAAAAATATGTAATCCTCTTTTAATAGCTATCTTTACTTTTTAAATATGTGTTTATTTAAAATGCAAATATTATTTTAAAATATATGTTGTTTTTAATAATAAAATCCCTTAAGGTGATAATGAAAATAAGTATACAGAGAATCACAGAATTCTCAGGGTCTATTTAGATTCTACTTTCTTTAATGGTATAAAATAATAATGCTTAACAACATGATTCTTAAGGTTCTTTTTTGTTCTATGACTGTGTATATAGCTAAGCAGCTGCCTACTGCATTGTTAGAGTAAAAATTTCATTTAGTTAGATGAATAGTAAAAAATTAAGTACTCTCTCAGAGCTATAAGTGATAGCTACATTTGTACTGTCCAACATAAAATATACCTAAAAGATAAAACTAAGTACATATAAAAACCATAACTTAATTACATAAATTTAAAAAGTTCATTAAGCCAGACATTGTGGTGCACACTAATGGGAGGCTAAGACAGGAGGATCATGAATTCGAGGCAAAGCCTGGACTATGTGACAAGACCCTTGTCTCAAAAAGAAAAAGAAACAAAAACATTCAATAAATCTGGAAAATTGTGCTAGTACAATAACAACTTGTATAAGCACCCATAGTGAAAAGCAAGTAACCTTTGTGCTACTTGAAAATAAGAACTTGGGCATATTCAACTACTCAAATAACAGAAAGGTAGCTTCTGTTTGGCTAAAATAACAATGTTAGTGATCAAATGTGTAGACTCACCTCACAAAAACTCCTCCTTGCAAGCAATGAAGTAGAAGAAAACAATGCTCACTCTCTTGGCCTGTCTTCTTTAAATCGGCTTTATACCAAGAATAACTAAAACACTGGACCACAAGTGTTCCAAAAAGCATAAAGCTTAATGTTAAAATACCAGAAACATATTGTCCTTCATGGAAAAACCTGACAGATACACAGATGTCCACAATTAAGTCAGTTATATAGATTATAATGCCAAAAACTGACATCATAAAATTGCATTTAGTATATTTCATTATGAATCACTATAGCTCTTGGCTATCTACTCTTTTCTCACACAAAAAGAAAAAAAATGCCAGAACAAATATTAGTGTGTCCTTTGGTACACCACTGAATTTTTAATTTCTACTCCCTAAGTCAACTTAGAAAAAAATAAATATTATGAAATTGGAACACTAAAACCAAAGTGACTAATTTTAACTTTCTTTTCTAAATCTCTAATCCAGGTCCAATGTTACAATGCCTTACTCAATCTTCTGATTCACAGTTATCTTCATTACAGATGATAATACCTAAAATGAAACATAAGCATTAAATTCCTAAAAATCTTTAAGTATAAAACCTGGCCTCTAATGTTATCAAAACTATATTTTTTCTAAAAATGGTATATTACCATTAGATATACTTCTTACATTTGGGAAAGTAAAGTCACAAAAATATACTTACTAGTTAACAACTTGCTATCAAACAAAAGCATTAATCTTTTTAAAAATATATTCTACTCAGTGGAGATACTTACCACAGGACCATTTATAGTAGAAAAAAAATTGGAAACCACCTTAATGTGTTATCAGAAGGAAGTGGTAAAGTAAAAAAGGTAGACTTGTAAAATGGAACGTAAAAAGTGACTAATAAAAATTGTAAAAGTTACCTAAAGTATATGTTAAAGAATATGTAAAATTACAGAATGTGCTTTTGACCCAGAAATTCCATGCAGGATTTCAGCCTAGGGCAATATTCACAAATATGCACAAACTTATGTGCTCTTTGTAGTCTTTTTTATAACAACAAAACACTAAAATTTACCTAAATGATAACTGAAAGGCCTATTTCAATAAATTCTGATATATCACCATAAAGGATACATCATACAACCTGTAGAAAGGACGAGGTAGCTTTGTCTGAACTGACTTCAGAAGCTCCCCAAGATGTATTAAATGAACAAGGTAAGTATTAGAAACATAAAACATAGCACTTATGGCTTTTAATTATATATGAAAAAGGGAAAGGAGGTTGGGAATAAGAAGCAAATGCAGCTTGTCATTATTTTCTATGCTTCTATATTGCTTGAGTTTTTACAACACATGTTCTTGTGAGGGTTTTTTAAATAACTTCGAAGATAAATGATACGTTTGAGGAATTTTGATAACTAGAGATAATGTTTATCCTACTAATAAGAGTTAACATTTATTTGGAACTCTATGCCTGGTATTGAGTTAAATGTTGCATACAAAATGCCCTAATCTAGCCTGGTACCTGTGGCTTACATCTTGTAATCCTAGCTACTTGGGAAGCTGAGATCAGGAGACTGTAATTTGAGATCAGCCCGGGGAAATAGTTCCCAAGACCCCATCTCAAAAATAACCAGAACAAAGTGGACTAGATGTGTGCCTCAAGTGGTAGAGCACCTGTGTTGCAAGTTCAAAGCCTTGAGTTCACACCCCAGTCCCACCAAAAAAAGCCCTAATTAAATTCTTATATCAAACTTAGAATGCAGATATTACGATCCCTATCTTATAAACACAAGCTGAATACAATCTGAAGGCAAGATTTGTCTGACTCAAGCATTTTTGTTTTCCTAATTGTCAACATTTTACACACACAAAAAAATCAGATTTCCGTCAAAAAATTGAAAGATCCACTATGTTACACCACCATTTTTTATAAACAGTGATGGCCCTTTCGGCGGGTATGCTCTCTGCAGTTCACTTCAGTCATTTTAAAAGCTGGATCTCAGTACTAATGCAGCTACCTACCAGCTGTGTTTCCTTCAACATTTATTTTCCTCCTTACACCCAATTTTCTTCATAATAATGAGACATACCTTAAAGAATTGTTATGAGTTTAAGAAAAATAATGCATATAACATATACACCCCTAGAAAGGTACTTAGCACATAGTTAGGGCTCAAGAAATGATAGTTATTATTATTACCTTGTATGCCTGCTTGTCTAAACATCTGAGTTTGTGACCTCTGACTTCACCTTATATAATGTTAACTGAAAAAATACTATGGTATGATCTCCAAACTATGAAAATAAAAGGAAATATTACTAGAGAAAATTTTTAAATGGTAACTGTGGTTTTACCTGGGGAATGAATAGATGATTTTTTTTCTTCATGATTCTTTTCTATATGACATGGAATAAACTGACCCCCAATTCATATATTGATGCTCACAAATGGGGCTATATTTGAAGGTATAGCTATTAAGGAGGTAATTAATGATATATGAACTCTAGGGAACTAATCCAATAAAAATGGTCTCCTTATTAGAAGAGAATAACTGGGGAGATATAGCTCAATGTAGAGAACTTGTCTAGCATGAGGCCCTGGGTTTTATACCCAGCACCACAAAAGAAAAAGAAAAAGGAAGATGAGGAAGAGGAGGAGGAGAGAGTGGAGGGAGAGGAAGTGGAGGAAGTGGAGAAGGAGGAAGAAGAGGAGGAGGAGGTAGAAATGGAGGAGGAGGGAAAAGAGGCAGAGATGGAGAAGGAGCAGTCAGAAGAGACACTAAAGTAAAGATCGTGTGAGGATACAGCAAGAAAGCAGCCATCTGCATCCCAGAAATAGAGAAGCCCACCAGAAACCAACCCTGCTGACACCTTATTCTTAAACTTCAATCTCCACAGATGTGAGAAAATAAATTTTGGTTATAGCCATCTGGCTTACTTCAGTCATTTTAAAAGCTGGGTCTGAGTACTAATGCAGCTACCTGCCAGCTGTGTACTGTTAAGCATTTTATTTTCCTCCCTATACCCTGTTTTCCTCACTTGAAATATAAATAATGGCATATACCTCAAAGAGTGTTATGAAAGTTAATAAAGACAATGCATAGAACACATATAACCCCAAGGTATTAGTCAGTAAGTCTATGGTATGCTATTATGGTAACTAGAGCAGATAACACACTGTTTTCTTTTAAGAACATTCAGGACGGGACTCACTGAGAAAGAGGCAAGTAGAACCATGTGAATTACCAAGTATAACGTCTTTCCAAGTGGAAAGAACAGATAGATTTCAAATGTATGACTTCCATAAACAAAAGTTCCATGAACTCTTGGCAGAGATTCCTTAGCATAGTTATATTTGTTATGTGGAATATGCATCCAAATCCTATTCTAACATTGTTATTAAAATTATAGTTTCCTCATCTTTGCTAGGTAGGAAAAATCATAGAGTAGAAGAATAGATATACTAATAGTAGCCTACCAAAACTGAATGTTAATTGTAAGCAAAGTGTTTTGCATACACTGTTTATTTAATCTTCACAAGTCCTTGTGAGAAAGGTATTACTGCTCCATTTTACAAACCAGAAAACTGAAGATTAGACATGTTGGGTGTTTATAGGAGTTATCTCTGAGTAAAATCTGCTTGCATCCAGTGCTTGGGTTAAAACCACACAATATACTACACAGTCTATGAAAGAGGAACAGAAAATACTAATAGTTGCTTGAATATGACACAAGCATAGAAGTCTACAGATTTGACAGACTGAAACCATAGTATATAATTATTTTCTGTAGGAAAATAAAAAGAGAAAGAAATACGGTTAGAATTTCAAAGGATGTGATGCTGACCTTTCTAAGCAAAAATCTTTAACTCATTTTCCAGACATTTCTCAGCAAAGATTTATAGTCTGACATCTTCAGAATAGTACAATGACAAAAATTCAATAGTTGAGCTAAAATTTTACATAAATTAAATTAGAATATAAATAACTTACTTAAAATTACGGACTATAAAATCTAAGCAGTTTCTGTGTATGCATTTCTTAATCTCTCCACTCACAAAAAGAACTTCCCTTACTTGACATGAATGAGTAAAACACTAGCAGTTTTAAGACAAGTTTTACAATATGGAAAGGATCATTTCTAAGAAACAGAAACTGAATTATTGGCAGAACATTACACTCAATAGATTAATCTGATACAACACTGTTCATATTCCTAATTGAGTCAGGAGGAACATAATTTACATAGGAAGCTAATAAACATAGCAGCTCTCATAAAAACAGCCCACGTCTTTCAATAACCTTATATTTTTATAATTTGGATTCAGGATAGTTCATTTCTACTTTTAGTTGATTGCTATTCCAATAGCACCAGAGGAAAAATAATGCCACCTACAAAATTTGGGTTCTAGGGATATTTACACTCACTGACTTAAAAGGACAGTTTCAATTTATTTTCATTCAGAGGTCAACCTAGCTATATGACTACCTGATTGCCAGTCAAAATATGTAACTTTTGCCCTTGTACATGATTTCTCTGTGATAAAGAAGATATCTGAAGAAATAAAAACTAAGAAACTCATTTATCGACCAAATTCAACACACAAGAAACATACTTACTTGTTAAATATAAAAAGTCGTCTTTAATTCAAAGTCCTTTCCTGGAAAATCTTCATCTGTGAATCTTTTATTTCTTCTTTACTGAAAACAAGTATAATTAAAGAGTATATAATCCTTTAGGATCGAGTACTAAAATGAAACTGAAATCACCTGCTAGTTACATATGACATTTTCTAGTCTAGTGATAAGCGTCTGTATCATTATGAACAAAGCACACCTCTTTATAACTATCTCACTGGGGAGGAAGCAGTAACATGGTTCCTTTTATAAGTTGACTAGGTTCCAAGCATTCATGTATTTGTCAATTAACTCTTAAGAAAATGTGATTAGCCTCACAGCATATCCAATGGACAAAAAGCCATGTTTGAAAGGACAGATAGACTCTTAAATTTGAAATACTCTATTTGACAAAGAATTTACAAAGTTGACAGCCCTACCTACTTTTTTTCAACGTATATGCCTTCTCAAACTGTACGTCCCCCAAACATAAGATTGTTATCTCTATTCATATGTAGGCAGCTTTCCATCAGTGTAACAAATACTTACAATAAACACCTTATAAAGATAAAAGATTTATTTTTGTTCACAACGATGGAGCTTTCAGTCCATGATGTAGTGGACCCATTGCTTTTAGGTCTCTGGTTTAGGGGAGGGCAGTAAAATCATTGTGGGAACATGTGGCAGAGCAAAGCTTCTTGCTTCAATGTCAGGAAGTGAAAGAAAAAAGGGTCCCACAATCCCCTTCAAGGGCACATCCCAAATAAGTTGAAGACCTTTCATAAGTCCCAATTCTTAAAAGTTCCACTACCTCCCAAAAGCACCACAGATGGGGACCAAGCCTTTAAGATATGGGCCTTTGAAGGACATTCTGGATCCAAACTATAGCAATTCTTAAAATAAACACAGCATTTCTTCTATTGTTAAGCCTCTGCTGAAGGCTATTTAACCACTAACCATCTGATGAAATTCTTAGCAATACATTTAAGAATCAGCTCAAAACCTATCACCAGTAAGCTTTCCCAGATCTTCCCAAAAAATATGATCTTCCCCTTCTTCCTTGCAATTCCATCATTTTAGCTGTACTTCTAGGATTTACCTATATATGCTTTAAAATAGGTCTTGTAAAAGCCTGTAGCCAACATTAGACTAAATGGGGAAAAACTGAAACCATTTCCCCTAAAGTTAGGAATGAAACAAGGGTGTCCATTCTCTCCACTTTTATTCAACATAGCTTTAGAATTACTAGCTAGAACTTTAAGACAGGAAAAAGAAATAAAAGGAATTCAAATAGGAAAAGAAGAAGTCAAGCTATCCCTACTTGTAGATGAAATGATCTTGTACCTAAAATACCCAGAAAACTCCTAGACATCATGAACAACTTCAGCAAAGTAGACATATCAGTTTACAAAAATCAGTAGCGTTTCTATTTACCAACAATGAACAGACTTAGAAAGAGTACCGGAAAACAATTCCTTTTATAGAAGCCTCAAAAAAAAATATCTAGGAATAAATTTAACAAAGGATGTGAAAGAGCACTACAATGAAAACTATAAACCACTGAACAAAGAATTCAAAGACTACAGAAGATGGAAAGTTCTCTCATGCTCATGGATTGGAATAATCAATATTGTGAAAATGGTTGTAATACCAAAAGCAATCTACATGTTCAATGCAATCTCCATAAAAATTCCAATGACATTCTTCACAGAGATAAAAAAATCAACCCTAAAAGTTCATTTGGAAGCACAAAAGATGATGAAGCAATACCAAGCAAAAAGAGCAACACTGTAGCTATCAAACTATATTACAGAGCCATAGCAACAAAAACAGTCTGGTACTGGCACATAAACAGACATGAAGACCAGAGGAACAGAAGACCCAGATTTGAATCCACGCTATGCCCACCTGATTTTTGACAAAGGTGTCCACAACATATGATGGGAAAAAAATACAGCCTCTTCAACAAATGTTGCTGGGAAAATTGGATATCTGCATGCAGAAAACTGAAACTAGATCCAAGTCTTTCACCCTGTGTAAGTATCAACTCAAAGTGGATCAAGGACTTTCATATAAGACCTAAAACTTTGAAGCTAGTGAAGGAAACAGCAGGGGATACCCTGGAACAAATGGACATAGGCAATGAGTTTCTAAATAGAATACACTTGGTTCAGCAACTAAGAGAAAGGATTGACATGTGGGACTACATGAAACTAAAAAGTTCCTGCACAACAAAACAAATGGTCACCAGAATGAAGAAGCAGCCCACAGAATAGGAGAAATATCTTTGCCAGCTGTACCTCTGACAAGGGTTAAGAACCAGAATACACAGGGAACTCAAAAAACTAAACTCCCCAAAAATCAATGACCCAATGAAGAAATAGACAAATGAACTGAACAGAGCTTTTTCAAAGGAAGAAGTCCAAATGGCTAAAAAACACATGAAGAAATGTTCAATATCCCTTGCCATAAAGGAAATGCAAATCAAAACCACACTAAGATTCCACCTCACTCGTGTTAGAATGACGATCATCAAGAACACAACAACAAATGTTGAAGAGAATGCAGGGAAAAGGAACCCTCCTACATTGTTGGTAGGAATGTAAATTAGTACATTAGTACAGTATGGAAGTTCCTCAAGAAACTAAAAATAGAACTGCCATATGATCCAGCAATGCCACTGCTAAGGATATACCTGAAGGAATGAATGTAAGTCAAGACACAATAAAGACACTAGCATACTGATGTTTACTGCAGCACTGTTAACAATAGTCAAGCTATGGAAATAATCCAGATGCCCTACAACTGAAGAATGGAATAAGCAAATGTGGTATATGTGTACAATGGAGTTTTATTCAGTCGTAAGGAAGAATTAAATCATATGGTTTGAAGGTAAATGGATGCAACTGGAGGACACCATGATAAGTGAAGTAAGACAGGCTCCAAAAGTCAAAGGTCACAAGTTTTCTCTCATATGTGGGAGATAGACACAATGCAAAGATAAGCAATATTATGAAAAACAGGTTATGCTAACAGTATGTCACTAATGGGAGTAGGAGGATGATAGAAGGAAGTTAAGAAGTGAATACTGGGTGATTTGCTCTCTATACAAGAATGAACATAGAATTTTTAAACTTGTTGAATTCAACATAAGAAGGGGACTAAGGTAAAAAGGAGAATACTAGAAGGCACGAACCAATTCGAGTTGTAACACATATATATGGAAAAGTCACAAGGAAAATCCCTGTAGACTATCTTAAACAAACAAAAATGCCTTTTTTTTTCCCCAAAAAACAGAGAACAGGAAGGTAAAACAGGTCCTGACTGGGGGTTGGTACCAATGGGAGGGGGGAAGGCATAAGGAAAATGTGAAGGAGGCTGAATGTAGTGGAAATATCATGAACTCATGTATGAAAATGGAAAAATAAGACATGTTGAAACTACTCCAGGAATGGGGAGAAGGAGAATAAAGAAGAATGATGGAGGGGGTGAACCCAGCTATGGTATCAGAACTTTTGTAAATATCACAATGTACCCCCAGAACAACAACAATAAAAATAAATAAAAGGGAGATGGTTTAAAACCAAAAAAAAAAATAGGTCATGTATATCTCCTTCATGGTTATGAACCTCTAGAAAGCAAGACTATCTTTTTCATTTTAATACTCCCAGTATGTCTACAACAATATCTTGTACATTGTAGGCAGAAAATAAATGATTATAACTATAATTGAACAGAATATAAAAATCTTTGTCTTAAAGACCCCAAATAGTCAAAACAATTCTGAGCAAAAGGAACAATTCTGGAGATATAACAATACTGACTTCAAATTATACACAGAGCCGTAATAACAAAAACAGCAAAGTACTGGCACAAAAACAGACGAATCAATCAATAGAATAAAACAGAAAGTCCAGAAATAAGCCCACTCAACTTTAGCCATTAAATATTTGACCTGGGCACCAAAACCCTACAGTAGAGAAAAGACAATCTCTTCAACAAATGGTGTTGGGAAAACTGGAGATCCACGTGTAGAAAACTGAAACTAGATCTCTATCTCTCACCTTGTAAAAAAACCAACTCTTAATGGATTATAGATCTTAATGTAAGACTGGAAACTTTGAAACTGCTAGATGAAAACATAGGGAGAACCCTTGAAGATATAGGTATAGGTAATGCTTTTCTGAATAGAACGCCAACTGCCCAGAAAATAACAAGAATTGCAAAATGGGATTGTATCAAATTAAAAAGCATCTGCACAGCAAAAGAAACTACCAAAATCAAAAGTAAATTTACAAATAGGAGAGAATCTTTGTCACTTATTCACTGGATAAAGGATTAATATCCAGAATCTATAAGGAGCTCAGAAAATTAAACACCAAAAGAATAATCAAACTAATAAATGGGCAAAAGAATGAACAGACAGTTCTCAAAAGAAGCACAAATGGCTAATAAATATATAAGGAAATATTCGACATCCTTAGCCATGAAGAAAATGCAAATCAAAACGTTTTTGAGATTCCATCTCAATAATGGCTATCATCAAGAAAACAAACACTGGTGAGGATGCAAGGAAAAAGGAAACTTTATACACTGTTGGTGGAATGTAAATTAGTGCAGCCACTATGAAAATCAGTATGGAGTTCCTTAAAAAACTAAAGATAGAGCTACTATATGATCTTGACATACTATTCCTGGGTATATATATACAAATGAATGTTAAGTCAACACACTGTCAAGATACCTGTACACCCATGTTTATAGCAGCATTATTTACAATAACCAAAATATGGAATCAGCCTAGGTGCTCATCAACCAATGAATGGATAAGTATGGTATATATACACAGTAGAGTATTGCTTGGCCATAAAGAAGAATCAAATTATGTCATTTGCAGGAAAATGGATGGAACTAGAGGTCATCATGTTAAGCAAAAAAAGCCTGACTGAAAAAAACAAATATCCACATGTTCTCCCTCGTATGCACAATCTAGTCATTAAAAACTAATAACAAGAATGTAAAATAGGTCATTTCTAGGGGTGGGTATTGGCGGGAGGGAGAAGGGCAAAAGGAGAAGGGGGGTGGTGAGTGTAGTTAAAGTACTTTATACCCATGTATGAAAACTGAACTGTGAAACCTGTTGAAATTGTTATAAGAGGGTGCAGGTGATGAGGGGGAGGAAAAAAGGGGGTAAATTTGATCAAGGTATACTGTGTGCATGTGTGGAAATATCACAATAAAACCTCTTTGTACAACTAATATATGCTAATAATAACTACTACAACAAAATGTTATCATGTGTGCATATTAATCTAAAAATCTTTACAGGTCTGTAGTTAGTCATTCTAACATTTCCAATAAACTAAAATTATTTCACTGAAGGTTTACCCATATAGCATAGTAATGAGTTTGTTTTTTAACAAGTTCTTAATTGTTTTTATAAACAAGTTATACTAGATTGAGTATTTTATCAGAAATTCAAAACATAAAATAAGACTGGAGGTGTGGCCCAAGTGGTAGAGCACCTGCTTTGCAAGCACGAAGCCCTGAGTTCAAACCCCAGTCCTGCCAAAACCAAAAAAAAAAGGAAACAAAACATAAAATCATTGTTGAACATTAAATCCTCTGTGTTTTTTCACTCACACACAAAATCTCTGTTCTTTATTTTTGGAGAGGAACTTAACCTTCAAGTCTCATTACAAACTATATTCACAAAGAGTCTATTTTCTACCTATGGGCTGGAGCCCTCTTTTGAGTTCAACCCAGGTATACAACTGTCCAAATTTCTTTACCAGTATATCCCACAATCTCATCTTCAACTTGTCTAAATCATGTTCACTATCTATCCTCTATGCTCTTCCATTACTGTCTCCTTATATGACCATATGCAAGTCACTTGACTTAAAACATTTATTGGGCTCAGTTGTTCATCTGCCAAATGACAAAAGATTAAATGAAACCAAGATGGAAAGCACAAAGGATATTATAATTTTTTAAAAAGGGAGAGACTCAGAGAAGCTACCCAGAATCTCAAGGACAGCATTATGGCCCAAAAATTACTATTCCATTCTCTTCTTTAGGGTTTTTAAAAAGGGAGAGTGGAGACGGCTTCCCACCTAAATAGCCATTAGTTGATGGCCATCAACTAGTAAATATTGGTGCAATGAAAATGCCTCGACTTTGGTGGTCTCTCCAAGCACTTTTTAAAGGGTACAATGCTTATCTAGCCAAAAGAATATTTATGTGATTATTTCACTAAGATTTTGAAACTCTTCCATTAAAAGTACATGTCTGAAACCCAAGTCAAAGACATTTCTACACATAACAGAGGTGTCTTTCAAATACTAACCTGTTGATTTGTAAAGTAAATGTGAGTCAATACCAGATAGTCTTCTCTTTGGGAGGAAAAAGAAAGACTTTTCTAAATAAAAAACTTTTCTGAAGAAGAAATAAAGTTAAAAATGTAAAACCTAAAATTTTGACCTAAGCATCTAATGTGTCATTTATTTCTAAAAGGAATAGGCCAGGACAGTGGATATGTTCTACATGTCTTTTTGGAGTAGTAATGACAGATGATTGCCCTAACAGAACTTATTATGTACATTTTCTTTTCCTTTTTTTTTTTTTTTGGCAGTACAGGAGTTTGATCTGAAGGCCTCAGACTTGGTAGCAAACACTGTATCACTTGACCCATGCCCCCAGCCCTTTTTTGCTTTTTAGTTAATTTTCAAGTGGGATTCCGGGTTTTTTTGGTTATTTTTTTTTTGGCGGTGCTAGAATTTGAACTCAGGACCTCACACATGCCAAGCAGGTACTCTATCACTTGAACCACGCCACCAGCCCTTTTTGTGTTGGGTATTTTTGGGATGTGGTCTCTCCAGCTATTTACTTGGGCTGGCTTCAAGCAGTGATCCTCCTGATCTCTGCCTCCTGAGTAACTAAGATTACTGGCATGGGTCACTGATGCCCAGCAGGATCTCCCATTTTTTAAGCCTTCCTTGTTGTAATCCTACCTAAAGCCTCTCTTATAGCTGGGATTGAAGGCAGGAAGCTTCACGTTTGATTTTGGCTTTTTGTTAAGATGGGGTCTAACTTTTTGCCTGGTACCCCCGGTCCTGATGTGACCTCCTGAGATGGGATGTGACCCACCATGCCTGCCCTTGCATTTTCTTTTTGGTAACTTATAACTCAATTTTTTAAATGGGGGGCAGTAGTTAATTCTTGGCCAATTAGGAGGACTCATCACAGAGAAAACAAGTCCTTTCACATGTTGGACACAAACCACATCCAGGAGACCAACCTATTTCCCTGAGGCAGGTGTTGGGGGATGAACTCCTTGACTCTCCATGCATGGGGACAAGAGTTGATGCAAGGCTGGCAGGAACAAAGCCCCAGACACGCTCTGAGCGAGTATCCCAAACTCTGTTTTTCATTTATAAAACAGAGGTGGAAAAAAAAAAAAAAACAGTGTCTATCTCTTAGAGCTATTTGAGGATTAAATGAGATCTACTTAAAACCATATCCGCAAAGATTAGTTACACTGTTTATTATTGGAAAACAAAAAAGCCAAGCTACTCTTCGGCCACACATACCCAGCCACTGCTAAACACCGCTCCTGCCTGGAGCACGCTACTGGAGCACTAAGCCCCAACCCTTGTCACGTAACAGGTTAAAATGTCCCTCGTCCACGGGGGCGCACTCGCCTGCCTGGACACAAACTCCGGTGAGAGAACCAAGCTCCGCGATGGCACCAGCTTCTCGCCTAGTTCCAGGTCGTGTCACACCACCCGAAACCACGCGCCAGCGAACGCCTCCGCGCCACCGCCTCCGCTGCCCGCGCGGCCTCACCAGACCTCCAGTCCCACCCCCGCCGCGCCGCTGGGCCCCGCCCCCTAATTTCGAGTCCTCACGTGATCTCTGACCCCGCCCCCGTCCGGCTATCCATTCCCTCCCTCTGGGCTCGTGCGGTGTCGCGTGAACACCGTCCGCGCCCATTCTCCTTGCTAGTTGGGTTCCGCGCCGGAGTCCGCTGCAACTCAGTTGGCTAGCGGCTGAGACTGCGATGGCTGCTTCGCTGCAGCGTATCGAGCGGCTGTCCAGTCGGGTAGTGCGCGTTTTGGGCTGTAACCCGGGCCCAATGACCCTACAGGGCACCAACACCTACTTGGTGGGGACCGGCTCCAGGTAAACGTCCCGCCCCTCCCCCTCGACGCGGGACCGTGCTCGCCTAGCCGAGAGGCTGGGTGCTCTCTGCCGGGATTACGACCACCTACTCGGGTGGCATCCTCTACGGCCGAGGGAGAAGTGAAGAAGGGAGGAAAAAAAAAAAAAAGCCCTTCCTACTTTTGAAGGGTTTACTTCCGATTTACTTTGCTTGTTGAAGTCTGAATGCCAGGGTGACCGTGTTTAATCAGAATCGCCTGGAATTCAGAATCCAAGAAAGCGTTTGCTGTACTTTGCTCAGCTGACTTTCACGGGCGTTTTGCCCAGTCACAAAAGCGATTGTGCTGGGGACATTTCCTTAACTCGGCAGCAGGGGGCAGGATTTTCTTGCTTCCAACTTCCTTGGGTCTGTAAAACCTGAAAGAGAACCCGCAGCTCCTGCGAAGGAGGAGCTGGCCGGAACTCTTGTTTTGGGGGAGAGGGGCGGGGGGTTGGTAGAATTGTATGTGAAGAGCATAGCTCATGGAGTTTTCGTCTAAAAATCTGTACTGCATTTATTGTTCGATAATGAGTTTTAGAAGCAGCAGACTAGAAAGGACTGGAAGTACTGTAAGCCAGGTAGGCAAAAAGTCCAGAATAAACAAGCCAGGGTCGGGTAAGTGCAACAACCTTAGGCTACCTCCAGAATGTAGGAGAATAGAGAATTAAGTAGAAAAGGATGTTAGACTTCTAGAGTGTAGTCTGTCCAAGCTGGGCCTCCCTCAACCCAGTAAGTCCACAGGCATTCTGTCTTGAATGTGTCATCTTAAAGTAATTCTAGAGTCAGCCCTTCAGATGAAAATCGCTTATAATCCAAATTATCCTAGAAAGTCTCCAGAGCACCATGTTGGAGATCAGTATATAGTCTCAATACTTTCAACACAACCTGTTTTTCTTCAGGGTTAAAACAGATGGCTGGTTCTGTTTGAAAACAAGATGAAGTTGGCTTGCACGTAGAGGCCATGTTGTGTGAAAAATACATACTGTATCTTTAAACACTAAAATCACACTCAGCATAGCAAAATGGTTGTGCTAAAAAGAGACTCCAAAGACCTGAAACTAATTGAGAGAAGAACAGATTGATGGTTTCCCATCTTAAGTTACTTAACATTATTACATAGAAGTGCAATGACCAGTGGACTCTCATTATTTACATTATGTCTGTATAAACTAGGATGGATTAATGTGCCGATGACACTGTAACATAGGAAGTAAAAAATGACTAAGTATTAATTGGGTCCAAGTCAGATGTTCCAAGACTGGTATCCACCTGTTCCACTTCACAGAACAGTTCTAAGATCACATTTTTCTATTTCTACATTCTATTATTTCTATTTTTCTATTTCTATCTTGCTATCTTTTGACACCATTGACTTGATTTGCTAACACTACGTCCAGATTTCCTCTTAGCTCTCGTATCTGCTCTTCTCATTCTCCATATTTACCAGATGTTTGTTTTCCTCAAAATGCAATCCAGTACCTCTCTTCTGTTTTTATACCATATGCCTTACCTAGGTGATCTTTTCTTCCATGGCTTTGATACTATGAATTATTAACTCCTGAATTTGCAACTCCAATTTAGACAAAAGATAAACAGTATTTAGGCTCACATAGCTGACTGCTTTCTTAAATGTCTACTTGCATGTCTCACAGCCACTTGAAACATTTCCCAAACTGAACTGGAAATCAGTTCACTGGAGTGATCTTCCCTCCTCCAGTGGTCCCCAACTTGGTAAAGGGACAAGGAAAAAAGGCCTAAGTACCTTCCAGGATATTTCTTTGCCTCCTAGCATACATCCATGTGATTTGCAAATATTGCTTCAATTCCACTAATACGCAGTCCAACTCTAGCATAGGCTTCTGTTGTAGCCTCCTAAATGGCTTCTCTACATCTGGTTTTGTCCCTCTTCATTCTCCCACATATAGCCAGAATGGTACTTTAAAAATGAAAATCAGAAGGCCTTGCATGCTTTGGCTCCCACCTGTTTCATCAGGCTTATATCAGACCTGTCTCATGCCAGCCACACTGGCATTCCTGTAGGGCCTCAGATGAGTTGTATCATTTCTGCCTCAGGGCTTTTGTGCACACTTTCTTCTCTGTTTGTCTCATCCCTTTTTTTTTTTTTTTCAGTACTGGGGTTTGAACTCAGGGCCTACACCTTGAGCCACTCCCAGCCCTTTTTGTGAAAGTTTTTTTTTTTTTTTTTTTAGATAGGGTTTCGTGAATGATTAGCCCAGGCTGGCTTCGAAGTATAGTCCCCCTGATCTCTTCCTCCTGAGTAGCAAGGATTATCGTTGTGAGCCACTGGCTCCTGGCTCATCATCCCTAGCTTCTTCACCCAGTTAACCTCACTCATCCTTTAGAGCTCACTTGAAACGGCATTTCCTCATGGAAGTCATCCCTGTGATTGTCTTAGCACCCATATTTTTATAGTCCTTATCCCAGCAATAATAAATGGGGTTGTGTGTGTATTTGTGTATGTATTAGAAGTTTAATGTGTTAAACTTACATGTCCCATTAGAACACTGAACTTCAGTGAAGACTTAACTGCTAGCACCTAACACAAAGCTTGTATTGCACAGGTAGTACAGTAAATATTTGCTGAATATTTGCTTACATTTTTCTCTTAGTTCTCAACTGTTAAGATTCTAGGACTACTAAATTACTACAGTTTTACCAAATCTTTTTTCCTCCCTTGTTCTAATCAGCCAGCCAATGGATGCCAGATGCATCTCATTAAAGCACTAGTAGCACTTGTGAAACTTACCTACATATTCAGTAAGCATTTGCATCAACAAATGATAACCCAGCTTTTCAGGGTATTTCATCATTCCTCCTCTGCTCAAGAACCTCTGATAGCTGCGATTTTAACCTTTCCTGTCAAAAGTGTACATACCTTAAGGGCAGATAATAATAGGAAAATAGAGTCCAGTAGAGTTAAAACTCTAAACTCTGATTATCTAGATGAGAATCCAGGCTCCATTTACAAACTGTATGACTTGAAATAAGACAGATATCTCTCTAAATGTCATGTTTCTTACCTGTATACAACAAAGGTTATATAATACCTATCTTATAGGGGTATTGGGAATTCAGTGAAATCTACATGAAACATACCAAAAGCACAGCAAATTCTAGCATGTGGAAAGTATACAATGTTAGCTGTTTACCACTTCTGCTTTCCTTATAACTTTTGGCAACACTGGGTTCATGGTGGATGCTCAGCAAATATGTCATGATTTTAAGAGAATGGAGCAAAATGACAGAGCTACCAGTTAATTCCTATCTTAATATGGATATAAAGTAACTGTAGAGTTGATTCTTCTAACTTACCATCATTGAATTTTTTTCCATTCATGTAGCAGATGATTATTATGTGCAAAGTGCAGAGTTCTGGTGAGTAAGTCACAGGCCCATACAGATTCATTTGCACGCTTTTCTTCAGCCCTTTATGTATATTGCATTTGCAAAATGACTTCCTAAGATAGGAATATTATCTCTGATCATGAACAAAGACACCCACCCACATAAAGATGACACTATCTAATCTGCAATAATTGTGCTATCTACAGTAACTATTACAGATAGAATAACTGTTTGTTAAGGAGGAAACAGAACTTTTTTCTAGTCTAATGCTGATGTTATATTTATGCTAGGATGAATGATTCCAGGTGCTTGCCTAAGCAGTCCCCTTCCTCCAGAGAGGAAACGAATGTCTTCAATGGAGAAGTCACTGCATGTTGTATCTGTTCATTAGTGCTGCTCAGCACTGCCTCCTGCCTACTGTGTAAAACTGGTACAAATCATTCAGCCTTTCTGAACACCAGTTTCTTTTTCTGCAAAATAAAATAATAATTACTAAAATATTGCCAACTACCTGGAGTTGATTTGAGGATTAAAATATAAGTATAAATGTTCCCAATAGTTTTTATCACCATGTCAATGTAAGATGCTTTCTGCATGACCTTTTTTCCCTTCATACTTGCTACAAACTCATTTTTTAAGTTTTATAACATCAAGATACTGCTTTTCCATTCTCCGTAAATTGTGTTTATTCCAGGACTTATAAAAGACCTTTATTCCCAACTTGAGTGTCTATCTTTTCCAATCCCAATTTTGTTAGACTAAGATAGATCGTTAAGAGATCTAAAAAAGGAGGCCTGGGAACCATATTCTCTAGTACCGGAGGCCTATTGTCATCACTCATTTGACCTGCAAACAGTCAGCAGAGGCATTCTAAAAGACCTGTTTTTTCTCTGCTGCTAGATTTTGGCAAATCTGTTCGTTAACCCTGTTAATTTTGTCATGACTTTTGATTACCATGATATAGCCTGGTCTTTAAAATGTAGAAATTTAAATTCTACATTTTAGATTGCCATATATTTCAAAACCATTTCTTAGAAGTAAAGAAAGGCAACAATTAAAAAGTAATAAGGGGCCTTTATTGTTTGGAAAATTTTGCAAGTTTTTTATTGTTGTTTGTGTCTTAGTTTTTTTTTTTGTTTTGGGGGGTTTTTGTTTTTGGCAATACTAGGATTTGAACTCATGCCGTCACACTTGCTAGGCAGGTGCTCTACCACTTGAGCCATACGCTAGCTCTTTTTGCTTTAGGTATTTTTTGAATAGGGTCTTGTGGTTTTTTGGTGCGTGATCCTCTTACTTACACATCCCACATAACTGGAATTACAGGCATGTACCACCACACCCAGGTTTTTTTATTGAGACAGCCCTGAACTGGCCCTAAATCATGATCCTCCTGGTCTTTGCCTCCCAAGTAACTGAAATTACCAGCATGAACCACTGGCCCAGCTAAAAAGTCTTGATCTGAAGCATGGAAGAAATCTCAAGGGCCAGAAGAGTCCCCAAATAGTCTGAGTGATATTGATTAAAGGGCAGCAAGAATATGGGGTAAATAAATACCAAATGACCTCAAATGAGTAGAACCAGTGTTATATAGAAGTACTATAGTATTACTGTATGGTATATTATTATTTTAGTGTGACTAAATGTACACAAAGCTAAGCATCATACAGTGTATCATAGATATGGAAATAATTCCTGGAACCAAACTAACAAGGTTCCTGCCCTCACAGAGTTTATACAATAAGAGATAGTGAATAAACATAAATATATATTTATATGATAATAGTTACTGTGGAAGAAAAGGAAGGGAAGATGATTAGGAATGGCATCAACATTCATTGTGACCCAAATCATACTCACCTCAGATTTGCTTCCCCCCCTACCCTGTGTTTACACTCTTTGTTAGTGACACTCCAAACATCCCACTAGAACCCTGAGAATGATTGACTCTTTTTCCTTCCAATCCTGTTGATTGTGCCTTCTAAATGGTTTTTAAACCATCTCTGTCCTTACATTTCACTCAACAGTATCTCAAAATGCTCCTTTATCCACTGTAACCATCTGGTCACTGTCTCCAGAATGATGAGTTCAATGCTACTTCTAAGGTCTGTCCGCTACTCTACAGAACTTAATATATAAATAGAAGGCAACAAGCCATAAGGCCATTGCCTCTTTCAGTGAGGGCCACTTTTTTAAAATTTAGATTCTGTTTGTTTTGAGGCTTTTGTTGGTTTTTTTGTTTGTTGGTTTTTTTGTTTGTTTGGTTTTTTTGTTCTTGTTTTTTGGTGCTACTAAGGTTTGAACTTGTGCCTTATGCTTGCTAGGCATATGCTCTACTACTTGAGCCATGCCCTCCAGTCCTAAAATTTAGTTTTAATTGAGTCATAGAAACATAAAAATTGTACATATTAATGGGATCTCATATAATGTTTTGATACATGTATATATTGCATAATGTTCAAATCAGATTAAACAACTCAGATATTTATCACTTCTTTATGATAAAAACTTTCAAAATCCTGCTAGCATTTTAAAATGTATATACATTGTTATCTATAGTCACTCTGCTGTACAACAGCACACCAGAACTTCTTGTTCCTATCTGGCTATAACTTAGTACAACATGGTTTGGTTTTTTTCAGCTGTGGGTAGAGGAAAAACAAACCCTTCCAATGCAAGACAGCCATCTACTTACTTCCTATCTATATACCCTATTTTAATGCTCTGAAAAATGCTTTCTGTTACTTGCTACTTTCATTGTTTGTTCATTTGTTTTTAGTCAAGACACCGCTTCCCCTTCCCATCCTCCACTAAACAGTAAGCAGGGTTTTTGTCTTGTTTTCTTCAAGAAATAAAGGCATTGTGTTTGGTATATAATCTGTAAACAGTTATTGATGAATGAGTGAATGACTCATACTTTTTTCAAGTCTAATCTTCTCTCAGACAGCCAAAATTAGTGAGATTACTATGAAAGCATGAATTAGTTCATGAATTGGTTCTTGAGGAAAATGTCACCCTGATTTCTTTTGTTCAGGAAAACAGAGAGAAAAGCCAGCCCATTCAGATATTAAGGAAAGCAAAGTATAGAGAACACTCAAAAACACAAGCAAAAACTTAGAAATGATAGGAAAAAAATAAAACAACTCAGACTTTTCCGCCATGTTTCCCTTCAGCCCTTTTGCATGTGTAAGGGCACAAGTATAAAACTTAAGTGTTAGGTATCTAGTGCAAAAGACCAAGTTTCTTTAGGGATGCTATTGAATTAGATTCTTTCGTATCTATGATATATTTGAGAAATTGTAAAATATCTGGAAGTAAGAGCGTACATTTGCTATCAGAATACCTGGGTTTGAATGCTGATTCTGCCATTTGTCTGTGGAGTAATATTAGGCAAGTTACTTAACTTCTGATCATACCAATGAAATACCTGCCTTAAATGGTTATAAGGAATACAAGTGGAATAGGGCCATGTTTATTTTAATAGCTATGTCAGTGTTCGAGATTATTGGTGTTATTCCTTGTTCAGACTTACATTTAGCTATAATTCAAAGAATTTATAGTAAGATTAGTTAAGCTGAAGTAAGATATAGCTGTTTTCCAAGCAGGTGGAATGCAAAGCAGTTTATATAGTTTCTTAAATTTAATATAAGTTATCTGAGTAAATATGCTAATATTAATTCTGTGTTCCAATGTGGTGATGTTCCATTTCATTTTCAGGTGCATCCTTATTGACACTGGAGAACCCTCAGTTCCAGAATATATCAGCTGTTTAAAGCAAGCTCTTACTGAATTTAACACAGCAATCCAGGAAATCCTGGTGACTCATTGGCATCATGATCATTCTGGAGGCATAGAAGATATTTGTAAAAACATCAGTAATGGTAAACAGAAAAGCTTAAGCTCACTGAGGAAAGCTGTTTGGGGAAATCATTCCTAACTTAAGCTAGGAACTTACCAAATACCGTATATTTAGATGGTACTTTTAGAAATTGATAAGATGTGAATGCTGTCCTCAATTTTAATGAAGGAGGAAAGGAAAAGTTCTGTTTTCTATTTCAAATCCTCCCTCTTACTATTCACCTTTTCCCAGTGATAAAGATCAGTTTTAATTTAGTCTGTGTGACAATTACTACGTAAGACTGAATAGCTCACAACTGTGAGCATTTACTGCATGCCAGGCACTGTGCTAAATAAACACTTCACATGGGTACTGTAAGGTACTTTGTGTTATTGTCCATGTCCCAAATGGATGATCTCAGGCCTCCCATAACTTTTAGGCAATTACTAAGGTATACTGAAATTCAGGCAAAATATTGTAGCGACAATTCCCTTTCTCTGAAACCTACCCAGTACTGACATTTTTCCAACTCTCTCCTAATTCCTTCATCTCACCACCACTTATAAGTCATTAAACAAATATTCAGATGACTACTCTATGTAAGGTACTACATATAGCAGTGAACAAAAAGACTGCTGTCCCGAAACTTTCCTTCTACTGGTTCAGTAGCCCTAATCTGAAAATCCAAAATGCTCCAAAATCTGAAACTTTTTGAGCACCAACTTGATGCTACAATTGGAAAAGTTAATGCCTGCTGACCCCATGGACAAGTCACAGCCAAAAAGATAAGCATACTAAAAATAATTGTATAAAATTACCTTTAGGCTTTGTGTAGAAGGTATATGTGAAACATAAATAAATTTCATGTTACACTTGGGTCCCATCCCCAAGAAATCTTATTATATGTTGCAGATATTCCAAAGATCCAAAATCTGAAACACTTCTTGTCCCAAGCTTTTCAAATAAGGAATACTCCACCTGTAGTAAGGAAATTAAGTGGTAGATAAATAATAGATCAGATAATGATAGGAGCTATGAGGAAAAAATCTACAGGAAGAACAAAAGGAGAAATTAAAGTGGATGCAGTGGCAGGGTGGATGGAGTGAAGGGTAGGCTCTTAAGAGGAGGTTATGCCAGGCAGAGGGCATTTTAAGAGCAAAGATGCTGGAATTGGGAGTGTGCTTGGCATGTACAAGATAAAGCAGGGAGGTCAAGAACAGTAATTCACAAAAGGATGTGCATTTGCATTCGACTAATATTTTTGAATATTTGTAAGGTGACTTTAAGTTTTGAGACTGCATTTAGGACACAATGATAGGCTCAGCTGCTGTACCCAGTGTCTCAGGCTGCCATTTATTTAAAAAAAAAAAAAAGCTTTCTAACTCAACATTTTACTTGCCTTCTTTCTTCTAATCCAAAGGGACTGTGTGTCAGAGGAGCTCATAATTTCTCAGCTGGTCTTTTCTTTTTTTTTTTTTTAATTTTTTTTATTATTCATATGTGCATACAATGCTTGGGTCATTTCTCCCCCCTGCCCCACCCCCTCCCTTACCACCCACTCCGCCCCTCTCCCTCTCCCCCCGACCCCCTCAATGCCCGGCAGAAACTATTTTGCCTTTATCTCTAATTTTGTTGAAGAGAGAGTAGAAGCAATAATTGGAAGGACCAAGGGTTTTTGCTAGTTGAGATAAGGATAGCTATACAGGGAGTTGACTCACATTAATTTCCTGTGCATGTGTGTTACCTTCTAGGTTAATTCTTCTTGATCTAACCTTTTCTCTAGTTCCTGGTCCCCTTCTCCTGTTGGCCTCAGTTGCTTTTAAGGTATCTGCTTTAGTTTCTCTGTGTTGAGGGCAACAATTGCTAGCTAATTTTTTAGGTGTCTTACCTATCCTCATATCTCCCTTGTGTGCACTCGCTTTTATCTTGTGATCAAAGTTCAGTCCCCTTGTTGTGTTTGCCCTTGATCTAATGTCCACATATGAGGGAGAACATACGATTTTTGGTCTTTTGGGCCAGGCTAACCTCACTCAGAATGATATTCTCCAATTGTATCCATTTACCAGCAAATGATAACATTTTGTTCTTCATGGCTGCATAAAATTCCATTGTGTATAGATACCACATTTTCTTGATCCATTCATCAGTAGTGGGGCATCTTGGCTATTTCCATAACTTGGCTATTGTGAATAGTTCAGCTGGTCTTTTCTTCAGTTTTCCTTCTCTAGTCAATGTGCCCATTAGATTTTATGAACTAAAACACTACTTTTAGGGTTCGTAATTCACTTTGCCACTTTGTTAATCTTTTTTTGCATGGAAATCCATTTGAAAGATTAAGATATTTATGTTGCACTTTTTCTTTCATAAATCAACTTTCTGAGCTTTAATTTACATATATAAAAAGTGCCCCCATTTTAAGTGTACAGTTTGGTGAGATTTAACAAAGGTAAGTGCCTACATGACCACTGCAGTCAAGACCCAGAACACCTCCCCCACCCCAAAAAGAGGTCGCCTCATGCCCCTTTGCAGAGATTTTACACCTAGCCTCTAGCAATTGCTGAACTGCTTTTTTTCACTGTGTATTAGTTCTGCCTGTTCTAGAATTTGACATCACTCTCTGTCTGTTTTCTTTTACATAGCTTCATTTTTCTGAGATTGACACACGTTCCATGTATCAGTACTTTTGTTTCTTTTTATTTCCAAGTAGTCCATTGTATAAATAGACTATGACTTGTTTATTCACCCACCTGTTAATGGATATTTGATCCATTTTCTTTAAATTAAAAATTAAAATAGTCTTGGGTTCCAAACAAAAATAATAAATATTGTATAGTAGATTACCTACTTAATTGATTTTAAAAAAAAAAAAGAGAAAGCTGGGTGCTGGTGGCTTATACCTGTAACTCTAGCTACTCAGATGGTAGAGATCAGGAGGATCGCAGTTCAAAGCCCAGACAAATAGTTCAAGAGACCCTATCTCGAAAATACCCAATACAGAAACAGGGCTGGCAAAGTGGCCCAAGTTGTACAGTGTCTTCCTAGCAAGCATAAGGTCCTGACTTCAAACCCTAGTACAGCCATCCCCCAAAAAAACAGAAATTTGACCCTGTTTTTTATAGCAACTAAAATTTAAATACTTTTTTTGAGAAGTGGGTTGGTATCTTTCTTTCTGGACTTTATTGAAGCTAGGCAAGCTGCATTCAGACCTTGCGTTGCTCAGCATTGAAATTGAACAGAGATTCCTTACATAATATCCCCGCAAAGTTCCATGTTATTTTTTCATTCTTTAAATCCTGGATCAGGTACTGTGGCTCATACCTGTGATCCCAGATAGGCAGGTGACCATTGGTAGGAAGATTGAGGTCTGAGATAAGACCTGGGCAAAAATGCAAGACCCTACCTAAAAAATAACTAAAAGCAAAAAGAAGGGGTGGAGGAACCTGGAAACATGGCTCAAATGGTAGAGCACCTGCCTAGCAAGCATGAAACCCTAAGTTCAAACCCCAGTATTGCCTAACTAAATAAAACCTTCATCACTAGCATTCTTGTCCCATTTTGCTTTATTATTTTGTTCCATATTGTTTTGTAGCTGTAATTTTTAGTGGGGCAGATACATTTCAGGTATGTTCAGGGCTAACTACCTGTATTTTCACAGGCCATGCCAAAAAATATAAATGCCATTTATAAGATACAGTAAACTTGAAGCAGCCTGTTTACATTTTCAGACATAAATCAGTATAATCTGGGAACTAGTGATTTACAGGGAGTCAGAATTTTACTGGAAATAAAAAGTAGGTAGTCCCAGGCTGTGTAGGTATTTGGTTTGGTTTTGAGTAAGTGCTGTAAAAGATACTTTGTTGTGTGATAATTAAAAGTTATTTTGCAACAAAATTGAGTCTCAGCCACATTTTTCACATCTCAGTCTGAGGAGTCAAATGTATACATCTATGTTATTCAATTAGAATGTGTTTTTATTAGAAATTATTATAAACAGTATCACATTTATTATCAGCTTACATGACTAGCACATTACTACTATTTAAACTTAACAAATAACTGAGGGTTTGTTTCTGTTAAAAGAAATTATATGATAGAGACAGAGAGTAGATAAATAGTTGGCAGAGTCTGGGAGGGAATGAATAGGGAGTGATTACCTATTGGGCTCAGTATTTCTTTTGGGAGATTTGAAAACTAGATAGTGGTGATAGTTGTGCAATTCTTGGACTATAGTAAAGCCTGTTGAGTTGTACACTTTGGTGAATTTTATACTGGTATGTGATTGCTTTCAGCAGATACTCTCCATTCTTCCCATAAGAAGAATACAATACTGTTTTCATATTTGCACATAATTTTGAAAATTGACACAAAGTTATAGTATGACATTGTTTTGTAGTTTTGAAATAGTTGTGATATTTTTGTAAGGACTGTGAACCAAAGGTCTTTCTTTTTTGAGACAGGGTCTCATTATAGCCCAAACTGGCCTGGAACTGATAATCCTCCTGCTTCAGCCTCCTGAGTGATGGGATTACAGTTGTGTGTATCACTGTGCCCAGCAAACAAAGGTCTTATAACTAGAAATATAACACCTCCACTTCTTTACCAAAACACACAACTATTACAAATTAAAAACAAAAAAGCCTCACCATTCTAATCTGATACATAATATCAGTTCCCAGGAAATGGTTTTTGTTTAGTTTTGTTGGTTTTGCTTCAGCCTCTGAGATACAAAATAATGGAGTTTGAGGTTGGAAGGGGGAAGGTGCTGTTTGCTGTTGTTTATTTTTTTTCAGTGTTTCCATCTTCTTTGTCTACCATATTAGGCAGATTTCTATGCTTTGTACATTCTTTGAGATTTTTTTTCTCCCTCCGTCTTTCCACTGCTACCACCTTAACCCTAATATTCACTGTCTTCCAGTTGGGATATTGCAGTTATCACCTCCTGGTTCTGTCTGATTCCCTCTCCACTGTCCCCTCTTAGAGCTGCTGTATTGATCCACCTACTAACACCATCTCATTATCTTCCTAAAAAGTATGTAGCGGCCACAACACAGAGCTTAAAATTCTTCCATTCTGTGAAAGGCAATTTAAGGCCCTCCATGACCTGAGATCATCTCACCCATGCAACTTTTTCCACTCTTCCTGGCCGGTATTTTGCATTGAACAGGTAGGTAGCATTATCACATGGTAATAGATGCTCATTCTCATTTCCATATTCCATGATTACTAATGCTATTCCTCTTATCTACAAGACTTTCTCTGCATCTTTACCTATCCAACTCATCCTGTAAACAACACCTCAGTTTCTATTATATTTATGAATCTTAACTGTTTCTCCTTTTTCTGAAATCCCATTGCTTTTATTAGCTGAATTGTCTTTTTTGATATTCTGCAAATGGTACAAATGTAAGTCTTTGTTCCTTGTTTGCAATTTTCTTTCCCCAATTATGACATATGTTTATATTCATAATACATAGCATACTGGTTAGATAATTGGTAGTCAGCTGTTGAGTGGCTAAGTAATTGATTTTCTTCGTGTTGGTAAGGAGTAGTATATGTTAAAACTTATTTTAAAGATTTAATATCTTTTTTTTTTTGCAGTACCAAGATTTGAACTCAGGGCCTACACTGTGAGCCATTCCACCAGCCCTGTTTTTTGAAGGGTTTTTTCAAGATAGGGTCTCATGCACTGTTTGTCCAGGCCTGCTTCAAACTGTGATCCTCCTGATCTCTTCCTCCTAAGTAGCTAGGATAACAGGTGTGAGCCACTGGCACCTAAGTTAAAGGTTTAATATCTGATGTTTGGGGTTCTCTTTCAGCACTCACAGCAAGGCCCACATGCTAGCTTCTTATTATTAACTACTGCCATGACTTCTATATGATATATAGGCACCTAGATAGAGAACAGTGCTCAGGTTCCTTATAACTGCCTCTTCAATACATGTTCTGGGTGTCAAAGCTAGCTGAGATTATGAAGAACTACTTTCAGACTTTTACACAGACTGCTATTGACTAGAGGAGCATGGGAGAATAAAAAGCTCTTTTGTTGAGATATATGAAATAATTACATCCCATAGATAAGCTGTTATATGTCATCCCATTTTCTGTTGTCCTAATATTAGTATTTTATACAGTCATTAACAAGTACTACCTGTATGAAAGTTAATTTCTTAAAAGCCTTAATCATTTATAGTGTAACTTAATATATCTACGTGTTTTGTGACTAGACACTACCTATTGCATTAAAAAACTCCCACGGAATCCTCAGAGAGAAGAAATTATAGGAAGTGGAGAGCTACAGTATGTTTTTCTGAAAGATGGAGACGTGATTAAAACTGAAGGAGCCACTCTAAGGTAAGTAAATGTCCCTTCGGAAAAACAAGGGGGTCTGTGTATATGTATTATAAAGAAGGGTGAAGGCAGATTTAGGCATATTTGCTTATTATGTGAAGAATACCCCAGGAAGGATACAAAACAAATCTGGTAACACTGGGGAGAGGAAATGGATTGCTTGAGAAACCAGAAAGGTTTCTCTGTATACCCTTAATTGTTTGCTTGAGTCCTACCATTTTTTTTTCACATAAATAAAACTTAAATTTAAAAAATTAACATTTCCTCCTAGGGTGTTTAGGGCTCTACCTGTACTTCAAGGCTCTCCCATATTCTCATTTGAAAAGATGACCCATACCTATGATAATTACATTTTAGGCCAAACCCATAACCCCTCATGACCTGTTACAGCGACTCAGAAAGGTACTTCAAACTCAGTAATTTTTAAACTGAAGTAATTATAGCCCTTCTCTATCCTCTACAATCTGCGCTTACTTTCTGATCTCAGAACATCTACTTTGCTCTGTACTGAGAATTTTACTCATTCTTCTAAGATCCTTCAGGATTGCCTTTAACCTTTTATCTGCTGTTCTCCTTTACATCCCTCCCTGCACATGCATATCTAGGTAGGTTAGTTTTTACCTCAGAAATATTTGTCAGTGCTAGCCCCTCTTCATGTCCACTACTACTACATCTTCCTGCCTCCAGGCTTTCCCCTTTCCAGTCTATCCCTTACATACTTTGCCACTTGAAATGTTGGTGGCTCTCACTCCCTACATGTTCATTCTCCTTACTGTGCTACAGTCTGGCCCTAAACCACATTTCTAGTCTTAACTCCCACTACTCCCTTTCAAACCCTATTAGTCATAAGTAAATAAACCTAGACATATATGTGTTCATGCCTTTAACACTTCCCCTTTTCTGGGCATTGCCCCTTCCCCCACATTTGTCTCCCTGGTAAATTTATTTGTTCTTCAAAGCCCTGTTCACATATTACTTACTTTGAAAATCCTCTTCCAACTTTTTGTATAATTTTTATTATTTCATTAAAGCACTTATATTGTATTATAGTTTGTGGGGAGGAGGGGTGTTGGTGTTCCTTAAAAAGGTAATCAGCTCTTTAAGTTCACAGTGATAGTTAATGCCAGTTGCCATAGTAAATCAACTTGGAAATTATAATGGCTCAAACATGAAATAAGTTTATTTCTCAGTCATATAAAATCCCCAAAAAAGGTTATTGATTAGCAAGTGGCCCTCAAGGTGTTCAACAGGATAGTGATTCAGATTCCTTCCATCTTGTGATTACACCCTCCTTGCACTTGACTTTCAGAGTTGCTGTGCCCACATCAATCAATCCATCAAGTAGAAAAGAGCAGGGTAGGTTTTCATGGGCCAAGCCTTCTATTGCTTTGGCTATAAATTCAGTCATTCAACCCCAAACTGTAGGGAAGCTGGGAAATGCAGTTTAATGACATGACCACAAAAAAGAAGAAATGGGTTTGGTAATTAGCTAGCCATAATATGACAAAGGCAGATACTGGTTCATCTTTATAGCCTCAGTCTGTGGCACATGGAAGGCACTAGATATTTATCCTGCAAATAGTGAATGTCTATAAAGAGGCAAGAAGATGAACATTTGAATGAGAAGAGAATGTGACGTAATGGGAATCCATATTCTTCAAACCAGTACGCCTTTTCCCACTATGCCAGTTATTTTTTAAAATCTCTGAACAAAATCATTAGAAGAGGTAAAGATAGACAGCAAGTGGTTCATTAAGTCTGCTGTCTCAAAAGTTCAAGGTCATAGTATTGGTTTATCACACTTATCTAAGAATCATGCATATTAGATTTATACCTAATACTGCAGGTTAAGAATATCATCCTTTAGGCTAGCAGCATGGCTCAAGTAGTAGAGTGTCTGCCTGGCAAGTGCAGGACCCTAAGTTCAAGAATATTCAGCCCTTGGAAGTTAACTACTACCAATGTGAGCAGGACATACATTTTAAAACTTTTTATGAATATGTATGTATATGTTAATGTATGTATAATATATAAGCAGAAAAGTGTTCATATCATCAATGTATAAAGTGACAGCTTTTTACAAACTGAACAAGCCATATGAGCAGAACTCAGAGAGGAAACAGAACTGTAAGTATCAGTGCCCCAAAAGACCCTTTGTGCTAGCTCCCCATCACTATCTCCCCCTTAGTTAAATACTATCTTGAATTTGTGGCATAAATCGATCTCAAAATTTAAAGGATCTCAAAATTATCTGACTTCTATTTTTTTTTTAATTTTTATTTTATTCATATGTGCATACAATGTTTGGGTCATTTCTACCCTCATCTGACTTCTATTTAATACTTGTTTTGCTGCATTCAAACTAAGACAAGTAAATAGGGAAATCTATTTTAAGGTAGGAGGGAAACTAATAATCAAAGATAAAAAGCATGTGTACTTTTTAAAAATGATTACTGTCAAATAATTTTTCTTAAAATATCTAATTATGATAAAACATTTAGTTTCTGAATAGCCATTATTTCCAATTTCCACTTGTATAAAGTCAGTAAAACTAGCTGCTTTCAGTATTTATCTGAAAACTTGTTGGTAAATAAAAGTTCCATAAATAGACGGTTAAAACTTGATTAAGTCTTCAAGTATTTATGGTCCTGTTGATCTTACCTACTTGCCAACTTTGAAAAAAATACAGTAAGAGCAGAGGTGATACCCACCAAGAACCCTTGTAGTAGAAAGCAAGAAAGGTTTTAATGATAAGAATTTATTCTGGATATCACCTTCAGGAATCTTCCAGAGTTTAATTTCTTGAAGAAAGATCAATCTGGTAGTTTCTGTTGACTGTCATGAATTTTCCGAGAGCCATCTTCATGGAGTCTACTCCATACAGAAGTGGCAGAACTGGTAAATGGGAAGACCACAGTGGCATTTCCTCTGATCTTTAGCAAAGCACCCTTGATGTCATTTCTTCTCTGCCCATGTTAATTGAATTTTCACATAGCTTTATGCAAATAAAATCCTTAGTCACCAGGTACTTCAGAATTGGAATTTCTGATCCCTTAATTTAAGAACTCCTACTGCCTGCAACCTAGAAAATACCAAAGAAAAAACATTACCAAGGTCTGGTGCAGTGTGGCGAGTTGGTAATAAAGGAGACATTCAGGCATGTGCACAGATCAGACAGTTGCAGACTGGAAAAGAATGACTCTCCAAATGATTTTTTATGAAAAAAAAAAAAAAGATTGGAGCGCTATTTGTTAATACATTCTATGTGCTCAAAGATTATCCATAAGCTATGAAACGCACCCCCACACACATAGTTTGATAGTTGGCTGGCAAATTAACCTCCTGGAATTATTTGCCTATAACATTGAATACTTTTATTGACAGGTTGTAGCAGGTTTAGTCAGACAAAATAAATAATTTCAAACAGCTATGTAATACCTCACCACTGGAGCAACTATACTATAGATATAAAGCATATATATGTATATGTATGTATATATATGTATATATATATACATATATATACATGTTTTATACGTATATAAAGCATACACTTGGAAATTATAACAGCTTAATATTTTAGGAGTTTTTTCCAGTACTGTGGTTTGACCTCAGGACCTTGCACTTGCTAAGTAAGTACTTGAGCTACTCTTCCAGCCCTTTTTGCCGTGTTATTTTTTCAGACTGGCTCTTATGTTATTACTAGACACAAGCAATCCTCCTATCTAAGCCTCCTCAATACCTGGGAATATAGGTATGACCCACCATGCCCAGCTTGTTTGTTGAAATGGGATCTTGCTAATAAAACTGAGATCTTCCTGATCTCAACTTCCCAAGTACCTGGGATTATAGACATGAGCCTCCACTCCTGGCCAGCATAATAGTTCTTAATGCCAGGCATTGGCCTTTCAAAAGTAATTATTCCCATCATACTGGTGTCTCATGTTTTTATATATTATAAATGTATTATGTTTTAGCAGATTTTTAAGATTTTATAGTTTCAATATTTGATAAAAAAGATTTGATTAATTTTTATTTTTTGGCAAAAGAGAACTTCTGTGAATTTATAGTCATTTCAGTTCCCTTAAATGCTAGTAAAAACTGACTTTTTCAAATGTCTTTTCAGAGTCTAAGGAGATGAACTTACTAGTTTTCCTCAAAGCTTTATTATTATTTTAAGGTATCTTAACCCATTACTAAAGCTAAAAAAAAAAAGTATCTTGTAATATTGAAACACCCTTAGACTTTCTAAATTTTGCTTAGTCATATTATTTTTCAATGTGTTTTTTTAATTTTTATTAATATTTTATAACAATATTAGTGAAATCGGATGTAGTTAGTATATTATTCAGGGTTCTCCAGACAGACAAAATCAAAAAGAAAGGAAAGGAAGGCCACAAAGAAGGAGGGAGGGGAGGGAAAAGAAGGGAAGGGGGGGGAAGGAGGGAGGGGGAAGGAGGGGAGCAAGGGAAGGAGGATGAGGAGGGATATTTTTCGATGATTACATCATTAGCAGCTATAAACACTGTATACATCTGAACCATGTAGTAAACTATGCTTACCTTCACTTTTCTTTTCTTGCTTTCCTGAAGTTAGTAATTGCTTTGCTTTATTTGGATAGTGTGTTCGTTAGCTTTTCATCACTATAGCAAAATACCTGACATAAACAACTTAAAACTGACACAGATTTATTTTGGTTTCTGGTACCAAAGGTTTCAGTCCATGTTTGTTTGGCTGCATTGCTTCTGAGTCCATGCGTTGTAAAGCAGAACATCAAGGTGGGGAACATGTGGGGGAGCAAAGTGGTTCAGCTCAAGGCATACAGAGAGACAGGAAGGGGCCGAGAATATATCTCTCCAGAGATACCCCAGAGACCTACTTCCTCCCACTAGATCCCACCTCCCAATAATGCCATAAAACTATGAATCTATCAATGAATTAATTCACTGATTAAAACAGAGCCTCCAGGATCCAACCACTTCCCAAAAGCCCATGAGCTGGGAACTAAGCCTTTAACCTGTAAGCCTTTAGGGTGGGGGAGGGCGGTCTTTATATCTAAACCATAACAGATAGTTTTCTATGTACTTGTGACTAATTCAGCCTTAATTATATAAATCTCTCAGGATGTTTAAATGTATCAGGGATTCTCTCGATTTCATCTTTCAGAACTCTCCTTTTGCATCTTGTAACTTCCAACATGCTCCATCCAGTCTTCACTGGTTTTCCTCCAGGCCTAGTACTGCTGTCATCCCAGAGTTCCCATTGTTGGCACCTAGGGCTTCTTTTGCCTTTCTCAGTGTTGGATTTTCTATTTCCTGTTACCCGTAACCCTATTGTACCCCCTCTTTGGAAACTCAACTCCAATAACTTCTGGAGAAAGTGTGGTTATTTAAGACCTTTCATGTCTAAAGGTGTTTTTTAAATCTAACTTAATTTAAGGTTTGCTGGATGGGTACTAAGTTATAGTTAGATAAGAGTAAGGAGTTCTGGTGTACCATTGCCCAGTAGGATGGCTATAGAACTGTGTGAACTGTATGACAATGTACTGTATAGTTCAAAAGCTAGAAGAACAGATTTTGAGTATTTTTACCATAAGGAAATGATTACTGTTTGAGGAGACAGATCAGCTTAACTTTATTTAAACATCACACTATATACAGTTCTCAAAATATCACATGGTACCCCATAAATATTGCCACTTATGTTTTTATGTTTTATATATCAGTTAAAATTAATTTTTTAAGGTTTGCTGTATATAGATTCTAAAATGACAGTCTTTTCCCTTCTCTGTTTTGATGGTAAGATTTCATTTCCTTCTAGTTTCAGCATTGCAGTTGAGAAATGTGAAGCCCTCTGATTCCTGAACTTTTTTTAATCATCTATTTTTTTTGTATGGGAGGGTTGTTTATTTTTTGCTTGTTTGTTTGTTTTTTTGTTTCATTACTCCTTCCCAGCCACTTTTTTCTTAAATTTCACAATGATGTGCCTTGGTAATAGTTGATGATTCTGGGTCCTGTTAAGAGAAAACTGTTCATGACCTTGTTAATGACAATGGACTAACTTTACGAATGAGGACCATGGAAATAAATACGGGGCCTTCTGCAATCTGTGGAGTTAGAGAGATGACACTCCATAACTCCAGCAAGGACAAGCAGGGATTGATAACCAAGGAAGGGATGGAAAATGACTAAGAGGAAACATCAGGTGTCAGGGAATTCTGGCTAAACCAACTCCAGGAGATTATTGCTTAAGACAGGACAGGACAGTAACATATGGGGGTGAGAGGGCAGATATCAAGTGTAAGAGATTTCCTCTAAGAGTAGAAACTAGAGCCTTTTCTCAATGTCAGACCTACTAAGTATAAGGGAGGAAAGTTTCCCTCACTGGATCTAAAAATAGTACTGACAAAGACAGATTAACAGGAAAAGCAAAAACATACTGCTCTATTTAATAAGTGTTTTGGGGATTTGGGTTTTTTTTTTCTTTTTTTATTACTGTTGCACTGGGGGTACATTGTGACATTTACAAAAGTTCTTACAATATATCATAGTTGAATTCACTGCCCCCCATCATTCTCCTTTACCTCCACTCCCCCATTCCTGGAATAATTTCAACAGATCTCATTTTTCCATTTATATACATGTGTACATAATATTTCCATCATATTCTGTGCCTTTCCTGTGGCACAGGATCCTTCAGAAATAAAGACCCAAAGAAACAGGGAAACCTGTGTATTTTTATGCAAAATTTGATAAAGAAGTATATAGTCATGAAGAAATGTGATCAGATAAAGTATGATGGGGAAATTAGCAAGGCCTGTTTGTTCAGATTGTTCTCCGTGTCTCTGTGTCTTCAGAGACAAGGCTGTTCCTTCATCCAGGTGTGAAAAGGCACCTCTTGCGTGAGGGTCTAGTGACCTACTTCATAGAAAGGTCAGAAACTTCCTTCTAGGATTTATGACCTCGTTCAAGAAAGAAGGGCAGGAGGAGGTAGAGAGACCTTTCTGCTTTTGTTGTTTTCTCAAGTTCCTTCAGGTTAGTAACAGTACTCGGTATGCCAGTGTGCAGTATTTTGGAGTAACCTGTTCTAAGCCCTGTCATCAGAGAAGACGAGAAGAGCCTGATTAAATTTTGATCACAGCAAAGACTCTTTGTCAGTCCTTCATTTCAAGTCCTTTTTAGCCTAGAAATGTGTTCTTAGGTTCTAGAAATACTTGTTAAAATTGCTTGTTGACTATTTTCTCTCATCTGTTCTGTTTCATATATGAAAACTCCTGTTATGTGGTTAGAATCCCTGAAGTTATTATCCTAAAGCTACTTTTTTCCTCTCCTGTTTTCTTCTTTTTTGACTTTTTATATATCTTCAGGAAGATTTTTATCTATTTTATCTCCTAATATTGTCTTTCATTTCTCTCTCTCACTTAATTTTCAAGAGCACTTTTTGTTGCCTAGGAGCTCCTTTTGTACTAACATAGTCTTGTTTCTTAATTTAGTGTCTGTGATCTTGCTGAGAATTTTCTAATCTGTGGCCTCTGAATTCCTTTGTTTGCTTGCAGTTTTTATTCACTGTCTTCATTGTGAGAGGCTTTCCTTAGATGCTAATAATCCTGATTATCCTCTGGTATTTACTAATTGTCTTTTTGTTTGTATGCTGGGGGTACATTGTGGCATTTACAAAACTTCCTGCATATATCCAAGATATCATAGTTAAATTCACGCCTTAATGATTGTCTTTTGATAAAACTGCAGAGCTATTTGGGAGCTCTCAGATTGTGGTGGGTTATGGGGGTTTGTAGGTGAGTGCCTCACTGTAGAGTAATCTGGATGACTGCTTCTTTGGGAAACTTCCAACATTGACACCTTCCAGTATTTCCTCCTGAGCTGATGAAATAACTTAGAAAAGACTTCAGATCTTTCTGTAGGGTAAAGACCTACCTGCCAACATTATGGAAGCTGAGTATTGAAAGGCAGCTTGGAGTCAACCTATATTCCAGTAATCTTCCTTTTCCTAGTATATTGTTGTTACCTCAACCTGTGCCTGTTTTAAAGTCTTCAATGAGTAAATCTCCAGTCTTTTCCCATTAATGGGTTTGAGACATTTGTCAATGAAAAGTGAAGATTAGAGGAAAGGAAAGTGGAAATAAATCATGCTAAATCGGACATCAGTGGTCACACCTGTAAATCTAGCTATTTGGGAGGCAGAAACCAAGAGGATTGTGGTTCCAAGCCAGCCTGAGCAAATAGTTCACTACAGCCTATCTTGAAAACATCCAACACACACACACACAAACACACACAAAAGAGCTGATGGAGTGACTCAAGTGGTAGATCACCTGCCTAGCAAGTGTGAGACCTTTAGTTTAAACCATAGTACCACAAAAAATAAAAATAAAAAGCTAAATTTCTTACATGGGGTGAAATCAATCAAAACCACTTTGTTCTTAAATTTCTTAAAGAGCAAAAAAATAATATACTTAAGAATGTTTCTTTTAGCCAGGTGCAAAGGCTCAAGCCTGTAATCCTAGCTACTCTGGAGGTAGATATTGAGAGAACTGTGGTTCCATGCTAGCTGGGGCAAAAATATTCATGAGACAACCCCCCCCCCCCAACCAATGGCCTGTCATCCCAACTATGCTGGGAACCACAAATAGAAGGATTGCAGTCCAGGCTGGCCTGGGTATCAAGCAAGACTGTATCTCAAAAATAACCAGCACAAAAAGGACTGGCAAGTGGCTCAAGTGATAGAGTGCCTTCCTAATTTACTTCCCACCAGTTTCTGTATGCCAGTGGTTCTTACTTATTACTTTATTATTTGCCATTTTGTTTTTTCAACCAGAGTCATATACACGCCTGGCCACACTGATGATCACATGGCTCTACTCTTAGAAGAGGAAAATGCTATCTTTTCTGGGGATTGCATCCTAGGGGAAGGAACAACTATATTTGAAGACCTCTATGATTATATGAACTCCCTAAAAGAGTTATTGAAAATCAAAGCCAATATTATCTATCCAGGTGGGTAATTTTTTTTAATCTAGCAAATGATTTTTATCAAATGATGAGGAAGGTTAATTTTGGGTTTTCTCTGTGTGTATTTGGCCTTGAAGATAGTTTTTAAATTATATATATATGTATATATACATATACATATATATGTATTTATGTATATACATATACATATGTATATATATACTCATATATATGTATTTATATATACATATATGTATTTATATATATATACATATATATGTATATATATATATATATACACTCTTACATATATTTATACTTTTTAAATCTTTAATCATGTATTTTAATTATACAAAAAAAAAAGGGCTTCATTATTGTCAGAAAAAAATACCTCAATCCTTGTGGCCAGCAAGAGATGAATTCCAGCAAGATGCAAAAATATAGTAAAAGTAATAGTAAAGTTTATTAGGAAAGGAATTTAGTATAACAGAATAAAAGTAGAGAGAAGTGGGAAAAAAAGGGAGAAACATTTCCTGCCCCCCATGCAGGAAATGGGAGTAGAGACTCAAAATGGTGCCCCCCCTCCCCATCTCTTTGTCTTCTACTTTCAGAGAGCTGCAGGAAAACTTGAGGTCAAAGATAATGGATCTAGGTGGCTGAGATGGCTGCTAAAACAGGAAGGTGTTGTCCAGGCCTACCAAAATCACAGGGACAAAAGATATGCCTTAGAACTTTCATCTGCCAAACATGATATTCTCCACCCATCCAAGGAGCTAGTAGTTTAACATCACAAAGAGAGAAAGGCAGATACAGATAGCCCTGGAACCCAGATAGCCCTGTTCTTGTAACCTAACATCTAAAAGGAGATGGGAGAAGATGGGCTAGCTGCTCTAACTTTTTAGGCTTTTCTTTCTTCTGATGTCTCAGTCTGGCCCTTTAAATATTTATTAAGACAACAAAATTTTCCTGTCTCCTCATTTATCCTGCCTCATCCATCACTCATGGCTAATTGCTACCTAACATTATAACATATCCATGCATGTATATAATGTACTTTGTTCATATCCACCCTGCATCCCCTCTCTTGTCCCCCTTACCCCTACTGCTGTTTTCCTAATAGTTTCCTTCTATGTTCATAGATTCCACATAGAAGAGAAAGCATGTAATTGTCTTTCTGACTCTTATTTTGCTTAATATGATGATCTCCAGTTCCATCTATTTTTCTGCAAATGACATGATTTTATGGCTAAATAAAATCCCATTGTATATGTATACCACATCTTCTTTATCCATTCATCTGTCAGTATGCACCTAGGCTGATTCCATAACTTGGCTTTGTGAATAGTGCGTCAATGAAACATAGGTATGCAGTTATCTCTGTGGTGCTGATTTTGATTCCTTAGGGTATATATCTTAAGAGCAGTATACCTGGATCCTATGGTAGTTCTATTTTTAGGTTTTTGAGGAGCCTCCACACTGATAGTGGATGAACTAATTCATATTCTTATCAATATGAGGATTCCTTTTCCCCCCCCACATCCTCAGCAGTATTTGTTGGTTTTTTTCCCTATTCTTGATGAAATGGAATCTTAACTTAATTTTGATTTGCATTTCCCCAAATGGCTAAGGAAGTTAAACATTTTTTCACGTACTTTTTGGCCATTTGTACTTAAACTTTTGACACCTGTCTATTAAATTCATTTGCTCATTTATTAATTGAATTATTCTTCTGGCATTTAATTTTTTGGGTTTTTTATATATTCTGGATTTTTTTTCCTGTCAGATGAATAGCTGGAAAATTTTTTCTCTAATTCTGTGGACTGTCACTTCACTCTGAAAATTGTTTCTTTGGCTGTGCAGAGCATTTTTAATTTGATGCAATCTCATTTGCCAATTCTTGCTATTATATTTCCTGATCTACTGGATCCTATTCAGAGAGTCATTGCCTGTGCCTGGATCTTGACTAGTTTCTCCTGTTTTTCTCTAGTATGTTCAATGTTTCATTAAGGTATTCTACTTTGGTTTTTTCTCTTTTTTATTAGCATGTATGTTTCCATACGTGTATATAGTGTACTTTCATCAAATTCACCCCATCTATTACTCTCTTTGATCCACTTTTAATTCATTTTTGTACAGAGTGAGAGATAGGAATCTAGTTTACATCTTCTATATGGGGATATCCAATTTTCCCAAGACATTTTATAAAGAGCCTGTCTTTTCCCTAACATGTTTTTGGATCTTGTCAAGAATTATTGGCTGTAGCTTGTATGGGTCTAGCTCTGGGTTCTGTTTTGCCGTCAGTATAATGCTGTTTTGTTACTATGGCCCTGTAGTATAATTTGAAGTCAGATATTGTCTGATACTTCCGTCATTGTTTTCTTTGCTCAGGATTGCTTTGGCTATTTAGAGTTTTTTTGTGCTTCCATGTAAATTTTAGCATTGATATTTTTTCTATTTCTGTGAAGAATGTCATTGGAATTTTGATATGGAGTACACTGAATCTGTAGATCACTTTTGATACTATTGCAGTTTTTACAATATTAATGGAAATTTTTTCCATCTTTTGATGTATTCTTTAATTTCTTTCTTCAGTATTTTCTATAAAATTCAGTATTTTATAATTTTCCTGGTATAGCTCTCTTGCCTCCTTACTAAAGTTTCTTTATAGTTTTTTTTAATTCTTTGAATAAGGCTATTGTGAATGGGATTGTTTCCCTGATTTCTTTCTCAACCTGCTCACTATTGTTACATAGAAAGGTACTTGATTTTGCTACTTTGCCAAAAGTGTTTATCAGATTTGAAAGATTCTTGGGGTGAAAAGTATAAGATCATATCATTCGCAAATAGGGATAATTCTACTTTTCTTTCCTATTTTTTAATCCCTTTAATTTCTTTCTCTTGCCTTATTGCTAAAAATTCAAAGACTGTATTGAAAATTAAACACTAAAGATTTAATTAAAAATTAAACACTAAAGGTGAAGAGAGTAAACACTCTTATCTCATTCCTGACGTCAGAGGAAATGGTTTCAGTTTTTCCCCATTTAGCATGATTTTGGCTACAAGTTTGTCATACATAATTTTTATTATGTTGAGGTACATTCCTTCACTTCCAAGTTTATTCAAGGATTTTATCAAGAAGGGATGTTGAATTTTTGTCAAAAACTTTTTCTTCATTTGTTGAGAAGATCATGTAATTTTTTTTTGTCCTTGATTCTATTTATATGCTGTGCTACATTTGATTTGCCTATGTTGAATCATCCTTACATCTCTGATATTAAACAACATTGATCATCATATGATCTTTTTAATGTGTTGTTGAATTTAGTTTGCAAGAATTTTATTGTGTTCATCAAGGAAATTGGTCTGTAGTTTTCTTTATTTTGTTGTGTCCTAATTATCCTTGGTATCAAGTTAATACTTGATTCATAGAATGAGTTTGGATGTGTTCCTTTCATTTCTGTTTTATGGAATACTTTGAGAAGCATTGGTGTTCTTTTTTGTTTATTGTTTTATTATTCATATGTGCATACAAGGCTTGGGTCATTTCTCCCCCCTGCCCCCACCCCTTCCCTTACCACCCACTCCACCCCCTCCCTCTCCCCCCCCACCCCCTCAATACCCAGCAGAAACTATTTTGCCCTTATCTCTAATTTTGTTGAAGAGAGAGTATAAGCAGTAATAGGAAGGAACAAGTGTTTTTCCTGGTTGAGATAAGGATAGCTATACAGGGAGTTGACTCACATTGATTTCCTGTGCGTGTGTTACCTTCTAGGTTAATTCTTTTTGATCTAACCTTTTCTCTAGTTCCTGGTCCCCTTTTCCTATTGGCCTCAGTTGCTTTAAGGTATCTGCTTTAGTTTCTCTGCGTTAAGGGCAACAAATGCTAGCTATTTTTTAGGTGTCTTACCTATCCTCACCCCTCCCTTGTGTGCTCTCGCTTTTATCATGTGCTCAAAGTCCAATCCCCTTGTTGTGTTTGCCCTTGATCTAATGTCCACATATGAGGGAGAACATAGATTTTTGGTCTTTTGGGCCAGGCTAACCTCACTCAGAATGATGTTCTCCAATTCCATCCATTTACCAGCGAATGATAACATTTCGTTCTTCTTCATGGCTGCATAAAATTCCATTGTGTATAGATACCACATTTTCTTAATCCATTCGTCAGTGGGCATCTTGGCTGTTTCCATAACTTGGCTATTGTGAATAGTGCCGCAATAAACATGGGTGTGCAGGTGCCTCTGGAGTAACCTGTGTCACAGTCTTTTGGGTATATCCCCAAGAGTGGTATTGCTGGATCAAATGGTAGATCAATGTTAGCTTTTTAAGTAGCCTCCAAATTTTTTTCCAGAGTGGTTGTACTAGTTTACATTCCCACCAACAGTGTAAGAGGGTTCCTTTTTCCCCGCATCCTCGCCAACACCTGTTGTTGGTGGTGTTGCTAATGATGGCTATTCTAACAGGGGTGAGGTGGAATCTTAGTGTGGTTTTAATTTGCATTTCCTTTATTGCTAGAGATGGTGAGCATTTTTTCATGTGTTTTTTGGCCATTTGAATTTCTTCTTTTGAGAAAGTTCTGTTTAGTTCACTTGCCCATTTCTTTATTGGTTCATTAGTTTTGGGAGAATTTAGTTTTTTAAGTTCCCTATATATTCTGGTTATCAGTCCTTTGTCTGATGTGTAGCTGGCAAATATTTTCTCCCACTCTGTGGGTGTTCTCTTCAGTTTAGAGACCATTTCTTTTGATGAACAGAAGCTTTTTAGTTTTATGAGGTCCCATTTATCTATGCTATCTCTTAGTTGCTGTGCTGCTGGGGTTTCATTGAGAAAGTTCTTACCTATACCTACTAACTCCAGAGTATTTCCTACTCTTTCCTGTATCAACTTTAGAGTTTGGGTCTGATATTAAGATCCTTGATCCATTTTGAGTTAATCTTGGTATAGGGTGATATACATGGATCTAGTTTCAGTTTTTTGCAGACTGCTAACCAGTTTTCCCAGCAGTTTTTGTTGAAGAGGCTGCTATTTCTCCATCGTATATTTTT